GAATGGGAATTCCAGAATACTTCATTGTGCTCATGAGGAACCAGTACATAGACCAAGAGACAGTTGTTCGGACAGAACAAGTGGATACTGCATGGTTTAAAGTCAGGAAAGGTGTGTGTCAGGGTTGTATCCTTTCACTAGATTTAGTCAATCTGTATGCTGAGCAAATAATCTGAGAAGCTAGACTATATGAAGAAGAAAGGGGCATCAGGATTGGAGGAAGACTCATCAACAACCTACGTTATGCCGATGACACAAATTTGCTTGCTGAGCGTGAAGAGGACTTGAAGCATCTACTGATGAAGATAAAAGACCACAGCCTTCAGTATGGATCACACCTCAATATAAAGAAAACAAAATTCCTCCCAACTGGACCAATAAGCAACATCATGATAAACAGAGAAAAGATTGAAGTTGTCAAGGATTTCATTTTACTTGGCTCCACAATCAACGTCCATGGAAGCAGTAGTCAAGAAACAAACAATGCAGTGCATTGGGTAAATCTGCTGCAAAAGATCTCTTTAAAGTATTACAAAGCAAAGATGTCACTTTAAGGGTTAAGGTGCGCCTGACCCAAGCCATGGTGTTTTCTATCACCTCATGTGTATACAAAAGCTGGACAATGAATAAGGAAGACTGAAGAAAAATTCATGCCTTTGAATTATGGTGTTGGTGGAGAATATTCAATATACCATGGACTGCCAGAAGAATGAACAAATCTGCCTTGGAAGAAGTACAGCCAGAATGCTCCTTAGAAGCAAAGATGGTGAGACTTGTCTCACATATTTCGGACATGTTATCAGGAGGGACCAGTCCCTGAAGAAGGACATTATGCTTGGTAAAGTAAAGGGTCAGCAAAAAAGAGGAAGACACTCAACAAGATGGATTGACACAGTGGCTACAACAACGGGCTGAAGCAAAACAATGATTATGAGGATGACACAGGACCAGGAAGTGTTTCAATCTGTTTTATATAAGGTTGCTATGAGTCAGAACCGACTCGATGGCACCTAACAACAACAAGTTTTGGAAGTAGATTGCCAGTCCTTTCTTCCTAGTCTATCTTAGTCTGGAAGCTCCACTGAAAGCTGGCCACCATGGGTGACCCAGCTGGTATCTGAAATACCAGTGGCATCGCTTCCTACATCATATCATAGCAATAAGCAAGCCACTACAGTACAAGAAACTGACGGATGGGTGGTGGATATATATTTAGAAGCACACACACATATATATAAGAGAGAGAGTTATTTTAAAGAATTGGCTCATGAAATTGTGGGGCCCTGGAGAGTCCAAAATCTGTGGGTCAGGTGACAGTCTGGAGATTCCTGCAGTCTTACGTCCCAAAATCTGTAGGTCAGGCAATGGGAAGAGTGAACAGTGAGAGGCTTCTGACAACATACCTATTTAGAGTCTGGAGGAAGAATACATCCCAAGGAAAAGTTCGTTTTTGCTTCTAAGGCCTTCAACTTATTGAATAAGGCCCACTCACATTATGGACAATAATCCGATTATTTTAGGCCAACTGATTTAATCACATGTAACTATTTCATAGCAGAGTCTAGACTAGTATTTGACCAAACAGCTGGCCACCAGAGCCTAGCCAAGTTGACACATAAAATTAAACATCACACTGTTCTATTGCTATATATCCTTCCAGATATATTCTAAATGTTAAAATACTAGAATGTAAAATACTATACACTTTATATATATATATATATTTTACATTTTTTCACAATTGGTTCCTTCTATAACACTTTTTCCAACTTGAATCAGTCTGTTACCATATTGAGGATATGTTCCCAAGTCAGTGCATTGTGTATTTGTATATTTCTAGGGTAAATCTCTAAGCATGGAATTGCTATGTCAAAGGCTAAGTCCAGTCTTAATTCTGACAGATATTGCCAAATTGCCATCCAAATACACGAAACCGATTTACTCTGCCTCCAGTTTGGTATGAGACATACTCTTCCTCCCCGCTCCCATCAGCATTGGCTATTACCTATCTTTTTAACCTTTGCTAGTCTGAGAGGTGGAAAAGTGGTATCTCAGTGTGGTTTCACTTTGCATTTCTTTCGTGATGAGTGCGGTTAAACATTTTTTTATGCGCCTGTTTATGTTTTAAATTTTGAACTATCTAGGATTTATTTTGTTATAAGAAGAAAAATTTATGTTTTCCAAAGGGCAGTGCTTATTAAATAATTCACATTTTCTCCACTGATTTGAAGTGCCACCCAGCTCTAAACTTTAAAAATGAAAAGAGGTCACCTGAACTTAAACCTCATACTATACACAAAAATTAATTCAGAATGGATCATGGATTTAAACGTAAAATATAAAACTATTAAACTTCTAGAAGATAACATGGGAGAGCATGTTCAGGGCTAGGCAAAACGTTCTTAGACATGACACTGGAAGCACAATCTATAAAATGAAAAATTAATAAATTGGATTCTATCAAAAAACTTTTGTGCTGTGAAAGATCCTGATAAAAGAATAAAACGACAAGCTACAGGCTGGGAAAAAATATTTACAAACCACATACCCAATGGAGGCCTTTTATAGAGAATATATAAAGAACTCTCAAAACTCAACAGTAAAAAGCAAAAAAGTCCAGTTATAAAATGGACAAAAGACATGAACAGATATTTCACCAAAGAAACACAGATGGCAAAAAAAAGACATGAAAATATGCTCAACACCACATTTCAGAAATGCAAATTAAAAATTAAAACCACAAACGAATCTTCTATCTTATAAAACCACCTATCACAATGGCTACAATTAAAAAAAAAAAAAGATAACACCAAATGCTGGCGAGGATGTGGAGAAACAGGAACTCTCATACGTTGCTGGTGGAAATGTACAATGGTACAACCACACTGGAAAATAGTTTGGTAATTTCTTACAAAACTAAACAGGCCCTTACCATACAATCCAGAAATTGCACTCTTGTACATTTCTCCCAAAGAAATGAAAACTCATGTTCACACAAAAATCTGTACATAAATATTCAGAGGAAATTGATTCATAACAGCAAAAAAAAGAAACAACCCAATGTCTTTCAATGGGTATATGGTTGAAGAAACTCTTGTGGATCCATACAATGGAATACTACTTAGCAATAAAAAGATATGAACTATTAATACAAGCAACAACCTGAATGGACCTTAGAAGCGTTATGCTCAGTGGAAAAAGACAGTCTCAAAAGGTTATATATTATATATATATATATAATATATATTTATATATTATATAAATTCCATTTATATAATATTCCCAAATGACAATGTTACAGAGATGGAGAACAGATTAGTGGTCAACAGGGGTCAGGGAGGGAGAGGAGAGGCTTAAAGGTGGGGGCGGGGCAGTATTCAAATACAAAGATGTAGCATAAGGGAGTTCTTCCGTGGTGATGAAATAATTCTACCTTGTGATTGTGGTGGTTACAGAAATCTATACACATGATAAAATAGCACAGAGCTATACGCACACACACATACACAAATGCAGGTTAAAAATGGTGAAAACGGAGTAACTTCTGTAGTCTAGTTAACAGTGATGTACCAAAGTCATCTTCCTGGTTTTGATGTTGCACTGCAGTTATATAAGATAATGACATTGGGGGAAGCTGCAGGTACTGTTTTGCAACTTCCTGTGAATCTATAACTATTGCAAAATAAAATATTTAAAGAAAAAAATTTAATGAAGAGAGGTCTAGAAAAGATGAGAGAAGAAAACCAACTCTGCCAAAGAACTTCCCATTGCATAGCGTGGCTCTCTTTGGTGGCTGCTTTATTCACAATAACCTATCCTCACCCCCACCGCCTACAGACACACAACATACCATCCTTGTGAAAAATCTCCAGTCTAATGGAAGGTGCCTTAGACCAGCACTTACAGAAAAGTCGCATCAATAAAAATAGTTACAATAAAATAACAGAATACCCTTTCTCCAGACTGACCTATAGTTAATATTTTAACTCATTTGATTTATCGTGTGTCATCTATCTATCTATGTATCTCATTGTTTCTGAACCATATGACGGAGTAGTTACAACACGGCCCTTTGCCCTTACATAATTTAGTGTTTGTTCCCTAAGATCATAATCTTCTAAGAATATTATCTTACATAATCGCAGTATTGTTATCAACCAGTAAATTTAACATCGACTCATATCGATGATTCTCCACTTTGTCAGCTGATCCAATAACGTCCAGTACAAAATTCAGTCTAGGGTCGGATATTGCACCTAGTTGTCATGTCTGTTTCGGAGGCTTAGATTTAGTAGATCCAGCTTTGATACCCATCTCTCTGTCATCGTCACCCACTAAAAACATACCAAATCCGTTGCCGTCAAGTCGGTTCCAACTTACAGCGACCCTGTAGGACAGAGCAGAACTGCCCCATAGGGTTTCGAAGGAGCAGCTGGTGGATTCGAACTGCCGACCTTTTGGTTAGCAGCCAAGCTCTTAACCACTGCGCCACCAGGCTCCCAGAATTCCCATCTGAAAAGTGGGATAACAGTGATTGCCCCTCCTATCTCTCGGGCTGTGAGTAAAGGCACTTTCAGTCCATAGCAGCTAAATCGAGGATTTCTCTTTTGCATCATTATTCCTGAAAAGCGTTATCAACTTTTTAAGAGGCGGTTGGGCAGAGGAGGCCCACTTTCGTTTTCGCTCCCAGCCTGGGGAAAGGGGTTGGGGTGGAGCAGGGCTAGTCAGGAACAAGGAAAAAAGGGAATTCGGGAATGAGCCTTCTAGGGAAAGGGGAATGAGACCCTGAGAAGTGACTCCTCCCTTTCTGCGCCCCTCACCTGCCGGGTCAGTCGGCCAATCCAGCGGGCAGCCTGGGGTCCCGCGGCCAATCGGAAGGCGGCGCGCTGCGCTCCGCCAGCGCTATAAGTGCAGGAGGAGCCGCAGAAAGTGAAAGCGGTGCCCCGCGCAGCGGCTGCAGTCTGGAGCTGGAGCGCAGCAGCCCAAGCGGCGCCGCAAGGATGCTCAGGACTCAAAAGCTGCGGCCCGGGGACGTGGGGCCCGCCGACTGCCTTCCGCAGACCACGCCGCCGCTCCAGTCAAAGCCGCTCACCTCCTTTCTCATCCAGGACATCCTGTGGGACGGCGCGGAGCGGCGGGACGGCAGCCACACGTGCAGCCCGGAGCCGCAACCCCTGCCGCAGCGCCAGCCGCAGCTCCCGCGCGAGCCAGATCCGCGCCGGGACCCTGAGCCGGAGCCCGAGAGAGGCCGAGGCCGCGCCGGGGGCCCGGAGGACGAGCTGAGCGCCCAGCCAGGCGCCGCTCCGGGGGAGGCCGGGAACTTGGCGGAGACCGAGCCAGGTACGCCGGCGAGGCCGGGGGTGGGATGAGGTCCTGCAGCAGTGGCGGACGGGCCGAGAGGCTGGAGGGGCGCTGGGGCCAAGGGAGGGTTGGTCCGAGCAGACTCACGGAGCTCGGGATGCAGGAATGCTGGGCCCACAGTGACAGACGAAGAGACAGGATCTTACAGTCCCCCCAGGTGCGCCTCGGGGATTCACTCTGAGCCCCAGCGCCAGGGCGGCGCACGATGTTGACATCGGCTCTGCTCGCCGGGCGCGGTGCGCTCTGCTTCGCGGCTCCTGGCTCTCCGGGCCTCCAGAGCCAGCGCGCTCGCAGCGCTCGGCCAGCCGCGGGCAGAGGCTCCGGTCCTCCGCCTGCGAGACGGAAATCCTACACCACCCGCTGCCAGCTCAGAGCGACCGACCGCGCTACCGTTAATCGGAACCAGCCCCACGTTACCTCTTGGAGGTTAAGATAACTAATAATAATGTATTAATTGCTTAAGAGCTCAGCTGCTAACCAGAAGGTCGGCAGTTCGAATCCACCAGCTGCTCCTTGGAGATCCTATGGGGCAGTTCTGCTCTGTCCTGTAGGGTCGCTAAGAGTCGGAATCGACTCGACGGCAGCGAGTTTTAAATAAACTAGGGTTTAATCCGCAAACACTCCCTTTACTTCCCAAACCCATGGGCAGTGAAACAATAAATTGGGAATTCCCTCTAGTCTTCAGGAGATACAACATCGTTGGAACATTTTAGAGTAGACGTAATTTATTCTCCACCGCTCTTTATGAGGCAACCGAACGCCTCGTTTGGAAGAAAAGGGATTAGAGAAAGAGAATGAATTTGCTGCTGCCGTTAACCCTTGCCGTCTCTCCTGTCACACATGCCCTCTCTTGCCCATCCGGATGTTAACACCGGGTGCTTTTTGCTCGCCCTTTACCAGGTATCTTATTCCACAGTACCTTTCCTGCTTCACTTCTCTCACCCCAACGCAATACACATATCCAGAATCCCTATTTAGTTCAACCAGTAAACGCCTCTAACTTTGTGTTCCTGCTGATTATTAGAAAACTAACACGTAATATACATATTTACTCATTCTCCGCTCTGGAGAGTTCCTTAGTCATGTGAAAAAAGTGAAATGTATCCAAGATGACAGTGGGCTGTTTGTTCACTCACTAAAGAGATAAGCGTGGATTGAATTCTGTTCTCTTCCCCGCTAACATGTAACTTTGTTCTTCCCGTCCCTCCTTCTCCCCTCTACTTTCCAGATAGGCACTTTGAGACTTATCTGTTGGACTGTGACAACACTTCAGGTGCCTTACCAAACCTCCCGCCAACACCCAAGCAGCCACAGAAGCGCTCCCGAGCGGCCTTCTCCCACACGCAGGTCATCGAGTTAGAGAGGAAGTTCAGTCATCAGAAGTACCTGTCAGCCCCTGAAAGGGCTCACCTGGCCAAGAACCTCAAGCTCACTGAGACCCAAGTGAAAATATGGTTCCAGAACAGACGCTATAAGACCAAGCGAAAGCAGCTCACCTCCGACCTGGGAGACCTGGAGAAGCATTCCTCCCTGCCAGCCCTGAAAGAGGAGGGCCTCTCTCGGGCCTCCCTGATCTCCCTGTACAACAGCTACCCATGCTACCCCTACCTTTACTGCCTGAGGAGCTGGAGCCCGGCTTTCTGGTAATGCTCCGTCAGGCGACAACCATGTGTGACCAAAAACTGCCTTCCCCAGGTTGTCTCTCTGGGAAGCAACAGGGACCAGGGCTAGAGAGGACTGGGGAGCCAAGAGGTGTGCAGACCAAAACTGTTGGAAGTTTGCATGGGAATCCAAAATTCTTCACTGGTGGGCTGAAGAAAGATCTGGAACAGTGACTATTTTAATGTTTAAACAATTCCCGCAACACACAATGTAGGTCATTTTTGCTTTTTGACGAGGGGAGGGATAGATTCAGGTGCTGTTTCCAGCACTTGGTATGATTTTGTATGAGTTGTCCACATCACTGCTGGGGATCCCATCCCTCCATCTTCATCCTCTGTGTAACTGAATATTGACTCTGAAAGAGGAAATCTGAAGGGAGAAAGGACAGCCAAGATGAGAATGTTGCCTACATCGGCCTTGGAATATGACCAAGGTTTTTTTTCTGTCTCTGTAAGAGAGAGGGATGTAGTAGGTCTCAAAGAGGAATTCTTCATGCTCAGAGCAGATTGGCATGGGATAAGGAGATGAGTGGAGACCTGGTGGGGCTTGGCTGCGAATCAAAAGGTCGGCAGTTAGAATCCACCAGCCGCTGCTTGGAAACCCTATGGAGCAGTTCTACTGTGTCCTGTAGGGTTGCTATGAGTCTGAATTGACTCGACAGCTATGGGCTTGGATTTTTGGTTTTTATGGAGATGAGCGAGATGAAAATACCAGTTGCTCCTTATTTCTTTTTAAATAGTACACCAATTTAAGTACAGCGTGGCCCAGGTAGAACAAGGCCCACTCGCTGTAGTTTTAAGACAAGCTGTACAAACCAGAACTCAGCCTGCAAAGGTTGGGCCCCTGGCAGGAGAACCCCAGCATGTCCAAGGCAGGGGCCTCAGTAGGGTCTGTGTGCTGCTGCTGCGGGTTGTTGCATTTTTTTTATTAGCAAAATGTAAAAAGGCCTCTTCTGGACCTTTTTGTTCTGGGCCTGATAATTTAGACTGAGAAGGTTCCTGGAGTCCTTAGGCTATAGTTCATACTACATCATGACATACCACCCAGTTCTTAACTGTAAGGTCCTTCCTTCCTGCCTTCCTTAATTTTTTGTTCCTGTTCTACAGAAATCATCCACTGAAGGACTTCTTTTCAGTCCATACTTTAAGTCTGGCTGCACCTAACATTCACTTCCTTATTTAGCCTAAGACTGTGTCTTTTTTTTTCTTTTAAAGCTTTATCTCTCTAGAGTTTAAAAAAGAAAAAGTAGGGGGCCAATTCTGAATAGTTAAATGACATGCATTTTTAAACTAGCAGATCTGATTTCCTCATTTAAAAATACACAGCATTAAATTCTAAATCCTATTTAAAGACCTGACAGATATAGAAGGTCGCTCACTGATGTTTTGATAAGACTTGCTGGTGGCTCTGTTGCTACTGTTCAAAGTTTGACAACCCTTTTTGCTTGGACTCCCTACTGGGCTCTCACATGCAATGAACACTGTGCAAAATGCAGGGCCAGATATCGTGGCACTGTCTGGTGGAAATAGAGGGCTCACGGGCTGGGGATAGAGGCAAATGCAGCCCAGGCTTTGAAGAGCCTCTTACCACCCAGTCCATGGAGAAAGCTGAAGGGGCTGAGAGGACTTTGCAGGGAGTGGCTAAGGAAAAGAAAACTTTTCAAAACACAAGGTTATTGTGACTTCCATCACCAAACAACGAAAACGTCCAAATGCATTAGGAACTGTGTTTGATGCCTGCATATATTTCTTAAAGTCCTGGTCCCCCAAATCAGTCACTAGTGGCTTCAGAGGGAATGAGAGGAGGACAAAGGAGAGATGTGGCTCCATTCTTTCCATCCTATTATCTCAGGTGACCTGGTACAGGTGAGACATCAGAATTTTAAAAAGCCAGTTACTAATGAGGCACCCTAAGGCCTGGAAGTCTCTTGAGCCCACTGCTTAATTCTGTTTAGCAAGAAACTTTCAATGTCCTCCACTAAAAGCACCAATTTACCGCCAAAGTAAATCAATAGAAAGTTGGCTGGTTTCACCACATTTTCTGTGGTTTGGGCTCCACGCTGAAATACTGTTAAATGCCATGTACTTACGACAGCCACCAGAGTGCTAGTTAGCACAGAAGGCAGAAGAGCTTAAATTGCTTTCTCCTTTTTCACGTCTTTTGTGTTTTAATACTCACCTTTACTCACTACTCTTTCCCTCCCCACTCTCTGAATTTGTTCATCCTGAAATTCTGCAACTGTTAAACATTTTACTGTGACGTTGTGGTTGCCAAAAAAAAAAAAAACTTTGTTTAAAATTTTTTTCTTTATGAAGCCATCTTCATTTTCTTCCATTGGAATTAGTTATTCACTCATATCTGAACTAGTAGAAAAAAATTTGAAGAACTAGTCTATCAGTATCTGACAGGGGCTGGACAGTGCCCTTTACCATTTCAGCCAGCCAGCCGGCTTCAGTTCTGTTGAACAGATTAGTTTGGGTTCCCCACATGCACAACAAATCCTGCTCTGATCTGTAACATAAAAGACTTGACTTAGAGTTTAGTAAAGTACCCCACCCAAACTTTATTTTTCTATGTATTTTTTTGCAATATATGAGTGTTTTTAAAATAAAGTACTGTGTCTTTGTTAGAAATATCTCTGTGGTTTTTTTTTTTTTTCCCCCCCTTAAGACTGCATTCTGTTTAACTTACATGTTCCTGGTTACCATGTTCTCTCATCCTCAGCCCACCTGACAAACCTGTGGAGGCCAGAAAACCAAACTCAGCAGCTTAGCCAGTAACAGATAATGGTCAGTGTTTTATAAACACACTGCCCTTGGATCCTGGCAAATCATGGGAGGGGAGAGACATTTCTGTATTCAGTTTAATAATCACCTGTTCCATTTAGGTGATAAAACCAATACCAGTTGCCATCATGTCGACTCTGACTCATGGTTACCCCACGTGTGTCAGAGTAGAACTGTGCTCTATAGGATTTTCAAAGGCTGATTTTTCAGAAGTAGGTTTTCTTCCAAGGTGCCTCTGGGTAGACTAGAACCTCCAGTCTTTTAGTTACCAGCTAAGTGCATTAACCACATACACTACCCAGGGACTCCATCCAAGTGATCCCTCTTGTTTAAATTTAAAACATCAGGTTTTTACTTACATTTCTTGAAGACCCTGAAGGGAACACGGAAACCACAGCAATATTTCTTTCAAAATCCCTCTTTCATTAGTTCAAAGGACTAATGGTCCACAGCTACCAAGGCCTCCACCGGACTGAGTCCAGTACAGCTAGATGGTGCCTGGCTACCGCCACTGACTGCTCTGACCAGGATCACAACAGAGGGCTCTGGACAGAGATGGAGAAGGATGTAGAGCATAATTCTAACTCACAAAAAAAAGACCAGATTTACTGGCCTAAAGGAGACTGGAGAAACCCCG